ACCCCAACACCAATAACATGCTTGGCCATGCCCGGATGTGGCTTGAATTGGTGTCACCTCAAGATTCTGCCGAATGTGTGTGTTTGAGATTCTGCCATGGTGGCCGAAGTTCCCTGGATGTCCCCCCCCCCACAACCCCTAGGGCTCCAAGTACCTCCTCAGAAGGTATTTGGAGCCCTAGGGAACGCTTTCTGGTGCAGAACTGGAAAAGCCGACCACGAGCGGCTCGTGGACAAAACAAACCTCAAATCCAAGCGTCGCCCGTCTTCGCCACCAGCACAAAGAGCCAACTTCTCCTGTCGCTGTGCACTTGGACCTTGCGAAGGAATGCCTATCCCTAAAATCTCCAAGTACCTCCTCAGAAGGTATTTGGACCCTTTAAATGTATTTGGAGCCCTACGGTATGAATCAATGGACACTTTTGGAGACTCCGGGTGCAAGGATGAAATACGACCAGTCGGCCTAAAGGCTACCTCTCCCGGCATCACTCTCAGGTGTACAAGTGCCAGTCTCAAGCCGTTTCAACCTGGTTTCACCAATCCTTCCTCCACCCTGGCCCCCAACATGACCCCCCCATGCAGTTCTCCTCGCTCCCTGCGCTGGGATTCACTGGCTGCAGTGCCACCGCCAAGATGGGCTGCTGCGAATGCTCAGTGACCCACGGCTCTCCAACGCCACCTCAGGCGCCACGGGGTGGTGCCAGGGGCTCAACGGATCGGCATAGATGGCAGCCCCTTGGAGTGGATGGGTATATATATACAGCGGTTTCTGGAGTAGATCGCACCACCGCACAGATCAGATGTGTAAAGATGGTGGGTCCATATCAACCAAGAGAGGTTGAGAGACCATATAGGACCCTGTAGTGGTACATATGGGATGGGGTATAGGTCTGTTCAACCTCTGTTGGAAAGTTCCTGGCTGGGGAGCACTTGTGCCATCGAAAAAACGTTCAATCCACCATACTTCCTAAGAGGTGGAGTGAGATGTGTCCGACGGTGTCAGGGACTTGTGGCCGTCCAGCTGGGGCAGAAGCTTGCGATCGCACGCCATTGGCGTCCACCATTGCACCGCCCCTTGCACGCCAACGTGAACAAACCTGCTGCAGCTTGTTGAGGAAGGGGAGTCTGAGTCAATTGGATTAGAGGCTCTAATACCGGTAGGGATGGTCTTGATCACGAGTTCATAGATATACGTAACATGGGGGTATTGACCACCTGAACACCATCATGTTGAATGTCCTACAATCCTAATATAACTCCTCAACAAAAATATAACACTGCCCACTATAAAATCAGAGGTATGATTCTCTTAACTTAACTATAAACAAAATATAGGGGAGTGAACCCCCTCATTCAATAGAGGGATATGGGAACTATAGATCCATAGACGGCTGTACAAAATCAAGCGCGCTGAGCAAACATCCAAGCCCATAATGTTCACTCGTGTTGACTCTAAAATGTGACCATGTTGTCTATAATAGCTGCGAGTCCTGACACCCTTTTTCTAATCCTTTCTCTCTCATTCTCTCTCTCTTCTCCATTCAATTGGCACGTTTCAGGCAGGATATTGCCAATAACCCGGGGTGGCACAAAACGACATACTCCAAGATCCAACGGGTTCCAACATACCCCAAGTGAGTGGATGCTCTGGGCACCCCTACCCTCTCAATGTCACTCAGAGTTGGGCGGTCTTTCGGCATTCGGTAGCATTGGGTGGGGGTCTTCATTCTTCCGCACCAGCTGAGAATCCCTCCTAAACGCAGCGCTCGACCGAGCACCCCCCCTCCCAAAATCAACCCCCAAAACAATGTCCCTCCAAAACCTCTTCAAACACCGCTGATCCAGGACCTCTCCTTGACCCTCTCCATGACCTTCGCTTCCTCCGTCCGTCCGTCGCATGATCCGTCGATTCACAGCCCAGCCGCCGAAGAGAGGATAGACGGTGATCCGGCCGTCCGCACAGCCGCTGACGCAGCGCAGGCCCTCAAGGCCCAAAGCCTGAGGTCGGGGTTTGGTGGATGTTAGAAGGCTTCGGAAGCGGACACCAAAGTGACGATGTTTGAGAGATGCGGATTGAACTTTGCAGTGTATGTTAAGAAGTCGGCATGTTAAGGGTGTAACCATGTCATAACCCCATTTTGGTGGGGAGCCAGAAGTACTTGAAGATAATGGCCAAGGCTGTTCCCCAGGAAAGGCTGTGGACCCTAAAGACCGCGCCGATCGTCCACCCTGTGCTTTACGCGCCCCGAACAAACGTCACCGCGTCAAAAGCCATGAAAGCCCCCCCCACAGCGTGGCCTGGATGCAGGTGTTGTTGCTGGAGATCTTCCTCGGGAGATGCGGAGCCTATCCCACTTGCTCTTGAAATGAATGAACTGCAGCCGGCTTTCAATCTGATAAACGGAACTAAATTAACTGTAACTGTATTTAATTCGCACGAGTTCAACCATTTTGCAATCTTCTGCTCTGCTGGAAATCTGGTCTTTCCGCATCAGCAGTTCATGCAAAGTGGCATCACCGAACATGGCCAGCCCAAAAGCTCCCAGCCCTATTCCTATGCACCTCCCCACACGCAACTCATTCTGCAAAACGCCCAGTGGCCGCAGTTGCTGCGGCGCCTCAGATGACATAGCACCAAACTGTGGTAGGTCTTGGGTATGTCAGTCCTATTAACAGCGCCGTTAGGAAAGGCCTTTCTCCAAAACTGTGATAATTGAAGAACCACTGCACAAGGCTGAAGTCTCCCAGCTGTTGGGCGCTGAAGCATGGACCCCTCTGTTGATCCAGCATGTTGCTTGCTCGATGATCATCTCGTGTTTCACAATCTTCACACCAAATTCCTTTTACAACCATCATCAACCATTCAAACAGAAAACAGACTCGGCCCAGCTGCACCGTGCTCGAGGATGTAGATGGAACCCAAGCGCGTTCCAAGCGCGCAACACCGCGCGCCCACGGCCAACGCCGTGATCTGGCCGACGGCGGCCATGCCCGCGCCCCCAGTGGTCCGACCCGAATGCGGTGGGGAGGATGTTCTCACCGAATCTGAAAAGCTCCGATAGAACACCCACAAAACTAGCAGAGTTGCACGAACTGTGGCACTGAAAACCCCCAACCTGGGGGAAACATCGAAAGCACTGGAGTGAATACCATGGTTTCCTGCACCTCTCCCCTTGAGCAGTCCATTGACTTCGTGAAAGGAGGGGAGTGTGGCAGATCTGGCGAAGGGTTCCGGCCTCATCTGTAAAGGCGGCATCTGCCAAAACCTTGGAGACAGAATCGTTTGGATGGTTGGGGATGACACAAAGGGACTTGTATATATAATATACAACACAGGTCATGTCAAATTTCGAAGCATACTGAGAATTATGTATTTCAAGCACTTCGCTGATGGTTCAATGTACGACCTCGTATAAGTCCTCTCATGAAAATAGGGTTCTACAGCCCCAACCCACACCCGCATTGGGTGGCCACACAGCAGCAAGGGTACAGAACTCTTTAAATCCAGGAGAGACTGTGAAACTCAATTAGGCCGCCCGTACAAAAAGAGTGACATAGTGGCACTGTTTTGGTGGACAGGGCTTTGACTAATACGTGCTCTATTGATCAAAATCCAGGAATTCTCAGCCTCAAATACACAACACGACACAAACAAAATGAGTGGCGCGATCTTCTTTCGCGTGGGCACACAGTGGCACACAGAATCTGGCACAAGTTCTTGCCACTCGAAACAAGTTAACCGGAGAACCCAGCACAGAATAGACTACGTGCAAAGATTCGTTGAAGGTCGTTGTTGGTGTTGTTGATCCACTCACGCTACTCTGATGTGCCACCGCTCCTTTACCTGGCTTACAGGAAGGTCTAGCCTTCCATGTCACCAAGTTGCAGTGCTGCTGAGATTCTTGAATTCCACCAATGGCTTCCCACGCCGCTCAGTCTCCATGGTGCATGGCGCGTTCGCGACCCTGGGTCTAGGTGCTCTAAGAGCAGCCCGCGACCCAGGTGAACACCACGAGCTGCTTGCGCAAACTATGGGCCCAGGTGTTTGGTCTCAGGCATTGGGTTTTTTTTCGTTGGCAGATCGTTATAGCTGTTCTCAGTGTCTGTGTGCGGTTCAGGCCGATGGTTCTTCCAAAACCCAAGTTGCAAGAGATAAGTTGGAGGTTCTTTATATCGTAAGAACCACCTAACCTTTAAACTTTAGGTGCAGTCTTCTTCTCCAGCCGTTTAAGATCCGCTTGAGGTTTTTCAGGTCTTGCTGGTCGGAGCCTGCATGGAGGCTCCCACCCAAAGCCCTTAGAAGAAGGAGCCTGCACAAACAGAAAGATATCAAACAATATCAATACACAAAAAATATATATATATATATTTAAAAAAAAAAAAAAACAACATGGTGTTGGTTGGTAAGAGGTTCAAGAGGTTCCCTCATTCTAAGATACACCACCCGATGATTTCATGAGCACCGCCAATCGAAACCCTCCTGGAGCCCGTCGTCGCAGCGTCGGTGCAACGCCTCGTTGCGGGAACTCCGTTGGGTGATAGGAATGATAGGAGCAGAATGGCCCCAGCAGTTGGTCTTTTGAAGGAAACTGTTTTGAGTAGGGGTATGGGCAATACAAAGACAGCAATGCATCGCAGGAGAAAGAAATGACTCCATCAAAGAAGGAGGCCTTTATCCTCCAGCCCCTTCTGCAAATTGGTCGCCCATGATGCGAGGTGAATCAGGAAGATCGGATCCATGACCAAGATTTTCAAAAGGGTGCTATCCATGGACCATGGAGGAAGTGGGGGTGCCCATTATCCACTCACTTATGGCTAAACACCACCCCGTCTTGTGACCCCTGGGAGATGTGATATGCCTTCACGCCTTCTTAGTGGTTTCTGCATGTTCCATTTTTTCCAATCATCATCCAAACACGACGCACGACACCTGCGTCCTCGGTCGTCCAACGCTGCGTCCGTGGACGCGGTCGTCGGTTCCGTATTCTTCAGGTGCCGGACGGACAGCACTTGGTTGCCGTCGGCATCGTAGCGGTTCCAAACCTTCTTCAACCTGTATACGGTGTTCACCGAGGCTGGCAAGGGCGGGCGGGGTGGTTCCTGGGCTCCCTCTCTCTCTCTCTCTATACGTTATATATATATATGCATATATCATATCTAATAATTATATACATAACCGAAACATGAAACAAAGATTGTTCTTCAATCAGTATCCCCAAAAAAGCAACAAACATGCGATGGTGCAACTCACCTCGTGCTTCAGGCACTCCATTGAACTGCCAAACCACCCCTGGCATGATTGGCACATGATGGCAGTTCCCAAACAGGTCGTGTCTGGGATATGCTGGCTTCTGAACATCTTCCAGAAAGAGTGAAGGACCAAACGGCCACCACCGTACCCAGCCGCTGAGGATCAAGCCATGGTCAAAACACTTACCCTAATCGTTTCGGGGATGGTGATGCATCATCTTGAAATCCGTTGAAATTGAAATGGAACTCGGATGTCAACATATATGTCAACATCGGTTCATGTATGTGAAAAAAACTACTTAGCCGCCCCCTTCAGCCACCTTCTGAAAGGGATACACGCAAACACGGCTCCGGCTCCTCAAAGCCTTGTTGGTTGGCTCAAAGCCTTGCTGCGCACCTCGCAAGGTCCTGGTCAGAGAAACCCGCGCGTGATTGAATGAGGTCATAGATCTGCACGAACCTGGTCAAGACGCGGAAACAGGGTCGGGTGAAGACGGAAAGAACTCTAACATATATATATATATATATTGGGGCACTGGAATGGCTGTGAAGTTGCGGCCACGCGGGAAAAACGTTTAGAGTGCCTGCACAATACAATCTATACACATATCCACACCCTATCTCCCTTTCACGAATGCTGAGCCTGAGAATCAAGGACAAGAGGTGTGGGATGCAGTAGGGGCGTGGTCATTTCATGTTCATTTCTCCAACTCCAAACCCAGACACGACCTGGACCTGGGACTGCCAGTCCGGACTGCCTCAAAACGGCCGACCGGGGTGGTGCCAGGGGGGTCGGCCTCTGGGGCGGCAGTCCTATGGCAGTCCCATGGAGTGTCTGGGAAATTGTTCAAACTACGCAGAGAAGCGGACAACATCTGATCTTGCCGCACCTGCCGCTCTTACAGATTCGACTGTGACCGTGGTCTGTAATGTCCATGTCGGCGCATCCGAAGAGTCAACTCTACTTCCAGTGTGGGAGGGGTGGGGAAAGCAAGTCAAGGCGGGGAAGCAAAGGAAAAAGGGGAGGAAAGCGAGTTGCCAGGAGCCACCAATCGGAAGAGACATTTTAGACCACCCGGATTTGAGTTCGTTCAGGACCACTGCAAAGCAAAGCGAGTGGAAAAGAAAACACGTGTGGCAAGCAAGCTGAACAAAGAAACGGAAGTGAATTGAATCAGCATACCATAAAAACAAGCTCTAAGACAGTCTGAGCAACCCATGAACTGCTTGTCTAACCGCATCACCCCCAAAATGCCTCGGTGAAACAAACTCAAGGATCCCCAAGATCCGAGCGCAGGAACCATGATGGCTCTTGCCAATCGTCTCAGTTTCGCCGCATCCCCCTCTCTGTGCCAAGGAGCTCTTTGAAAGAGAGATCCCGCAACTCGCGTTCACCTGGCCAAATCGTTCCACCTTTGAATGCTTTCCTCAGCAGAGGTATGAGATAGAGTAAGTCTATAACGGCAGTAGAACATGTCAGAGTATACGAGGGTTCAGTTCACAAATGCACTGTTGGTGCCAAGTAAGTTTTTCACATGGTCACCTGCCATCGATTCTCTCCAAAACCCCCAGATATCGGAGTTCCTCACCCAGCTTCATGCTGAACATAATGAGCATAATGTTATAACTTTTGTGGGGGCCGGGTATAGTACAAATAACACTATATAACGCATAACTACCTGGACCATCCTGTTGGGGTGCCCTGTCTGGAAGCCTATAGGTCCTATAGGTAGTGTGGGGTAGTCCAGCCAGGACTACCCCTTGGATGGTCCTGGTATATATGACTCTCTAAAAAAACTCTATATAAAAACTATATATATTATATCGATATATTACTATGTATAACGTATACCTATGTTTATAACGATAAATAACTCTGTACGTGGAGGTCTTGGACACCGCGGCAGGCCGTCCGTGTCCCAGGCCCGAGGCTCCCGCCGGTCACTTCTCGGAAGATCCGCTCCACGCAGCTCATCACAGGCCTCGGGGGTGACAGCAAACACAACGCCTCCGGACCCAAAACCCGAGTGGGGAGCAGGCAGGGCATGTGCTGGTTGCTGCCGCACCGACACATCGAGTTGGGGGATATTCATTGCATATTCATTCCTTTTTGGTGATGGGGAATTTGTGTGTTAGAGGCTTTAGTGGAGTTTCTCAGGGCGTTCCCCGTTTCACACTTCCCTGCTGGATCCCCTCATCTCCCCTGCCACTAGAAAGGACCTGTCCAATGCAGAAACATGCAGAAACGCTTCACTAAAGCCGCTGGGGGAAACGATCCTTATTGGGTTCAACTCCTCCTTTAGCACAAGCCGGACCAACCCTTGTCTTGCCCCCCTAGCTGTGAACCCATGTACTGCTTGGTTGGGTCGAAACAGGGTGGATGGGGCATGTCCCAAAACCTCTGAGTACAAATTTGCGCACCAACAGCACATGGAGCCCTTGCACAACTGGACTGACACTGATCAGAATCAGATTCTTGAACCTTTGTTCCTAGTAGCTTTTTGTTCCTAGTAGTAAGGCCACAAGCCTAGTAGCTTCTTGTCCACTTTCACCTGGGATCAGAAACAATACATTCCAGGGAAGCTTGGTGACTCCCTGCATTGGAAGTGATCCTGAAATGCCGCCCCTTAGAGCCACGGCGGCCCCTCATCACCAGACTTCGCAGAAAAATGGACCGTATTCGCATATCGTTAGAGGTTTGTCTGGAATATCATAGTCATTAGTCGTCCTCCTCCTCATCGTCTGTGTATAGACCATAATACAAAATAATACAAATTTAAACAAGCATCCTCCAACACGACTCTTCTGGAGTTGGAGACTTTAAACAAGTTGCAGGTCGTGGATCTGTTGGAGGGTCCTGCTACGGACTCCCCCACTTCCGTTTCCAACATTCTGGATACTCAGGATCTGACCAAACCTGCTCGCCCACAACGAGATCCAAGAAAAAAAAGGAAAAAACAACTGGGCCCTCCTAAGGCTGGCGCGTGATGCCCCGCCGCTTCAGAAGGACAACCTCAAGTGACTCCAAGGGTCTTGGCGAAGCAACAAGTAACATGGAATTGGAGGAAGACTTGTTGCTCCAAAAAGCGTCCCACTCCGCAAGCCAATCACCAACAGCACTGCCAATTTTTTCACCTAACTGCACTGCCTAACTGCCAAACTTCTCGGGTCAGCTAAGAATCCCAATGCCAAAACAACGGACTCTCTAGAATAGCAATGAATTTCAGGAGAGAGAGATATATATATATATACACAAGCACACACACACACACACTGATAGTAACATTTCAATAAGCCAACAAACTAATATTTGTGAAAAGGGGAAGGAAAAAACAACTCTGGGCCCACTGGGCCCTCCAACGATCTCGTCCAGGCTCAGGGTGCCGGAACCATCGGTGTCCACCTCGACCAAGCCGCGCTTGACCGGACCGTGGGCGGGCGAAGAACGCGCCGCCCTTGCGTCGCCACATAGAGCGGTCCCCAAATAGATAGCGGATGATAGTGGCACGATGTCCAATACATGTTCTACGATGTTCTACGTTGGGATCTACTTTTCCATCTATTTGGGGGTCCAAACAAATGCACCTGACATACATGTTGGGTATATTATCCTATTCCCACTGGATGATGGTGTGGTTGCAGGCCTTGGTCAAAAGTGGTGCTGTATAATATAGCGCTAATTGTTTACCGACTGTTACAGGTAACGGGACAAGCCCTGATAATCCCTGATATACATCGACCTTGACACTCCATAAGACTGGATTACTATGTGCCGCTGACCCCACTGACCCCCCTGCACAGCGAATGAAACAGCTGCGCTCCACGTGCTGCTACAATCCGGTTGTTGATACAGAAATCCGGACAACTGCATTCACCTAGGCACCTAGGAGTTGCTCCATGTCCTGACAAAATGTCTTCTGATGACAAAATGTCTTCTGATGAAGCGCCGAGGGTCTAACACCCTTGGGCAATCCCGTGACTTCAAGGGGCAATACCACAGAGCTTATAAATGCATATATATAATTATGTATCATGTGATATCTTTCACATAGCTTTCACATGCCACAGGCACGAGAGTTATGTACACAAGCCAGAAGGGTTCCAGTGCCAGGTACCCTTTTCAGAGTGCTTCCTTTGGGTTCCATAAACCTTGCAAAAGTAGACCAATTATGGGTCTGTCGACATATCTGCATGTTCCGCATGTGCATCCCCCGACATCTAATTGTGGGTCCCCCCCTCACTTCAGCGACAAGCTCACCTCACTTTGCCTCATCACCACGTAAAACGCCCTGTGCCTCGCGAAACATCCGTACCATGAACGCATGCCGGTGCCGGCGATACCTCGCCCAGGTGGCCCGCGCTTGCGGCCTTGAGGATCGTGTACCAGTTGGTTCGGTGGAGTAAGGGGAGCCCATTCTCTGAGTGATGCGCCTGTTGGAACCCAATCAGGGCTCCAGTCGTAGCGTCTAGATGGCCCCTCAGGCCGCCTTCAGGTCAGACCTGGCACCTCGTCGACCTTGCCAGGTTGTTCGTGCAGGGAAGGACCAGACCGGTCTGGGCGGTGTGGTCACTGGAGCCAAGTGGTACGAGGTGTGAGGGATGTACAGTGATGAACCTCTCTCTCTCTCTGGCAGTGTTTTTCTCGTCCCAGAGTCCGCCCAACATGAACCATGCACCAACTGGTGAATCTGAAGAACAAGAAAAGCGTGATCACTGATTCCAAAATGGCTTCGAATGGACTGAACAACCAATGCACGGACCCAGAGCCCATCAAAAGCTGCCGCGGATAAGCCTCCAACCTTAACCTGGATGCTTTGCAAGTACTAGAATCAGAATAATGTATCAAAATAAACACATAGCCACCACTCGCGTTAACCGTCCAAAGCCAAGCTCTGATCATCCTTGATCTTGCCATAACCGTCATGTCCAGTGCGCTCCACCACCTGCTATGCCCTGCTATCTCAGTGGGCACAGGTTGACAAAGTCGATGAAGTCCCCACGTTCCAGGTACAACCTGCGATGAAGTCCCCACGTTGCTTCACTTGCCCCAAAGAAAGCACTTGGGGCAAGGTCTTCATACCAACAACACGGTACACGATGACCACCATGACCGCACTTTGTGTCTTGATCAGGAACCATGACCATCCATGACCCACTCTGCTTCAAAGATTCTGTTTGGAACGTAACCTAGCTTCTCACCATGAGCTTGGGGTAGGCAGGTTTACATGCATTTCCCTTCAACTCTGCAACTCGCACTCGGGTAGCAATCCCATCTTCCCACATCCGACCCTTCCCTCCAGCCGCATCCGACCCTGTGGGCCTCAAGTCTTGGCTCCGTCTCTATCCCTGTTCTCTCACCGCGGCGACGGCTCAGCTCAGCCACGCGCGGAGGCGCCTGCCCGGAAAGTTCGTGAGGAGAATCTCCCGGACCCACCTGTCGGGAGGATGCGGGCGACACCAAGTTCTCGGAGCTGCGGCGCGGGACCCTGAGCCACTGAGGAGAGAGAGGACCTGAGAGAGAGAGAGAGAGAAAGAGAGAGAGAGAGAGAGAGCTGCGAGTGGAAGAAAACACGAGAAACAGCTCCGAAAGCCGCTGCGAAGAGGTACAAAGAGCACGTGAGGCTTACCGAAGAGAAACAAAACACGCCAGAACACGGTGGCTTTGAGGTAGAAGTATGCAAAAGGGGGTTGTCAATTTTCACAGACTCACTCACGGCGTGCTTCACCACCATCCCGGCCATCTGGGCTCTCGCACTCCTTGTCACTTCCTTTGCCTGGGTGACTTCGCCCAGTGAGCTTCAGGCGTTCAACACCCTGTTCTCAACGGAAAGGGATGCTTTCACCATTTCCAACAGCCACACCACCAGCAGCAACAACAGCAACAAACAATTATAAATGATAGCCAATAGCAGCAACACTTTCTAAACAGCCTCCTGGTCCGCCGCTAGGAGAGTTGTATACCTGCCTTCGTCCAAGCTCGCTTTCAGTGGGATTCAGTGGGTATACCATGCGGATCCAATGGGTGTGAAGTTGGGGTCCCTACCAATTTCACCTCCAAGTCGACGTGAAAACCTCACCTCCATCCCACCTGGGCGGCGCTCCTCCATCCTTCTCAACACGTGGTTTACACCCGGCGCTGCACCGGTTCTCGGGCGTCCGGACCCTCCAGAAGCTCGAGCCTGGGCTGGTGGAGTAACGCCCGACCTACGGACCACCAGGGCGAAGGTTGGGGAGGGGCCTTTCCATCACGACTTGTTTGGAGCGGGCACCCAGGATGTGGGTTTTTTGGAGCTACGAGTAGCTGGGCAAACCCAACAAATATCGTTGAGAACTGGGAACAGGTTTGGAACGCCATCCAAGACACACTTGGGTTCACAGTGTCTACTGTCACACAGTGTGGAAGTGATGGACGTGCCTCGTGCTCTAGTTTGGATGATTCCGGGCCAGAAATCCTGAGCGCAAAGGGTCCCTGCAGATTTCATCTCCACTTTCTTCAAAAACTTGTCAGACTACTGAGGCTTCTTGACTCTCACTTTGCAGGTCGCGGGAACAATTCAAATGCAACTTCAGCATCAACTGGACAAATCGCACCCGGTCCGTACAATTAAACTGATCATGGTTTTGGAGTGTTCAGATGAGCCTATTGTAATTTACTTCAAGCTGACAGGATCCACTGAGTTCATCTATTAAGTTATAGTGTATTATAGTGGCCACCCTGCTAGAATCATGAGTCTGGACATATGTACAGTAGTATCAATGATTGCTTCAGAATTGCTCCTTTGCGAAGACAAATCCCCCCAAAAAAGGTGGTCCTCCAGGGAACTGCGAGGTAAGTAGCTTCATAGTATGTCATACATGTTGACAAGTCCTTCCTAGGCTCCTGAGATTCAGGGGTTCCTCAAGTACTTGTTCAAGGGTTCTTCACACGATGCTGGTCTTGGACATGGAAACCGGATGTGGGTCTTCAGCCCACGGAAGTTTCGCCCAAGTCTCTGGATGTCCCTGGATGAAAACAAAACAAAACATTGCATCAGGCTATCAGGCTTCGTGCACAACTGCACAACCCTGAAATATCTTGACAAACCTGATCAACGGCATGGGTCTTGGGCCTTAGAGCACTTTTGCCATGCATCTTCGGCTTCCTCTTCTTTGCAAAGGTTGTCTTTTTGGTCATGCTGCCAGTTCCAAACCCCGATTTTCCAAGCACATCTGCCACCGCTGCCCCCGCCACTGCCCAGTGACCCTTCGGCCACACGCTCCACCGTGAGGTCGCCGTGGTCACAAAGCCTGCTCTTGGATCGCTGCGCGAAGGCACGGAGCAACACGTCGGAGCGGCTCTCGGTGGCCGGGGCACCGAGCTGTGGCCGAGGTAGAAGGAGCTGTGGCTTCAATGTATTACTTCTCATCTCACAAGCACCATGCTCAACACCATACATATATATATATTATAATATCATAATAGCAGTTTGCATGTATCTAACATCCTGCAACTGATGATGGTCATCGTGGCAAGGGAAAAAGCTTCCTTCTGGGCCATCTTGCTTGTGATGTATTGTCTGGTGCCTGATATACACACATACCACTCATATTGGAGTGGGTATCATCTGCATGAAGATCAGCCCTGCACTGCATAGCCCAATACCAACAACCACATGCCTCAATGGTCAAGCAATTGGTCCCCGCCAGGCATGGATTGACCCAACATGACCATGAGGATGTACAGTTGGATGTATGAGGATACGCCCAGTTTAGACTCCTCTTTCCTTCCCCAAATTGGTAACACTTCCAGGATCCTACCAAGAGAGGTCAAGTGACCTTATAAAACCATTCTGGGGTACCTATGGGATAGTGTATGAGGTCCTTCAACCTCTCTTGGTACGAGACATACATTTGTTGAAACTGTGAAACAATCACAGGAAGATGGGCCGATGGGCCCCTTGGAAGACCATGTTCCTCTACGTTCGCGGGGCGGTCTGCTCACTGTTTATTGGAGGGGGGCCTATCAAAACCAAAGTAGACAAGCACGGGTGCGGTTGCACATGGTTGCACCTTTGCCTTTTGACATCATTTTGACCACGTGACTTCACACCAACATGCCCAAAGCAGGAAAGTGCGTTGAGGGGCATGACATCTCTGAGGGCGATCAACACGAAAAGTGACATGACATGAATGACATGCTGAGGGGGGCCACTGTGCCCAGGCTTTGCTCACAAGCGCGATCACGCTCACCCAGGCGCCCTTGCTGCCCAAAGATTTGGTTCAAGCTAAATCGATCTGCCTCAGCTGGACCGGGAGCCGCCAGGAAGTGACATGCTTGGGCGTTTGACCTGACCTCGGGCATGTCTACGAAGATGATAGATCTGAGAGAAATTAGAAGATGCAAGTGGAAAAACCCAAGTCAAAGGTGAAAGATAATGAAAGAAGAAAAATCAGAAGAATAATAATAAGTAGAAGAAGAAGAACAACCCCAACCTGTTCTAGATGCTGCAAATGTGACCTTACAGCAAGCTTAGAAAGACATTGAAAAGGACGGTAAACCCTGAAAGACCGCTGCTTCTCCCCCCCAATCCAGCCCAGGGCAGGGCAGCATCTCTCTTCTCTCTTCGAGGCCCAGCCACGGCGGACACGAAGTTGGTCGTCGTGTCCAGTGGCTCCGGTGCCTCCGACTGAGATTGCGGGATTGAAGGCATGGGACACCAACATCCGCCACGGCATGGGACTGGAAGAACAAGACTCCGGGCCCGAAGCAACACATCGGCTTTGCTTCGGGTCCGGACCCCTGCGTTTCGGTGTCGGGTCCGACCCCTGGAGAGCCCAAGGATTCTTTGAATCATCGTGATGGTTCGGACGAACAGCCACCAGAATGGGTTTTTGTTGTATGGAGGAGTCTGGTCATCCTGGAATGGAGCCATGCCATCCATGTAACTATGATGACTCCTGTATACTTGTTCAAGTGCATGTTAGTGTCGTGATGAATCAACTGCCAATGGAAAAGATTTGGATCATCTGAAACGCCAAATAACTTGAGCATGGTGATTCAGTGTCCAGCTTCAACCTGATTGCCTAAACATATATTATATAACTATACAAGCGGCTGGACCACCAGCAACTCTCTTCACATCATTCTCCAGAACCCCCCTTCGCCTCTTTGACTCACTTCTCTGAGGAAACATTGGATGCATCATCCACTCCGCCCCCCCCTCAATGCGGGTCTCTCCAGCAGCATCTACCCTTTTGGCGGCCGGCGTTTAACGCGGCGCTTCGTCGAAGCAGCGGTCCAGCGCTTCCTCGAGCCATTGGCTGTGCAGTACCTGGTCCAACGGTCAGGTTCGAGGCCACCTGGAACATTCACCCTTCAGCACCTGCTGAGGGAATCGATGAAAAGTTATAAAAACAGAAGTGATGGGGCTGACCCGCAAGACATGTTAGTCACCGATTCTGCTTGGTGACACTGGCCTTTTGAATCCTGCACGAACACCACGAACACCACAGCACCCAAGAGAATCTTCCTGCCTGGCTCTCAAAGCTCTTGGATTGGGGTCAAGTCATGACTTTTGATTTAGCATATTTATACCATTGATGAAGAGGTTTTAAACTTACAAGCCAAATGGTGGGGTAATGTGGGGTATATCATGGTAAAAGATGAATCAAGCACCTTAGAATCTCAGGGATTTTCCACTTTCATACACTTTTCGGAATGATCACGGGTGAAGTGGACAAACTCATCAACGTGGTCGGGGCACGGATCTTCATGGGTCATCCGAGTGGCCCGAAGGCGAAAAAAGGCGCGAGGGTGTCCGAGCGTGCCAAGTGGTGTATGTATATATATATATATTTATTTACCTGGACCCTCCAAGGGGTGTCCTGGCTGGACTACCCCACACTAACCTAAAGGCTTCCAGACAGGGCACCCCTTGGAGCGTCCTGGTATATACTAGTTATATCTAGTTACTTATATACACTGATGATCTGCTATCCACCTAGGGAGGTCTGATATCTCATGTCTTGATATCTCCTGGAGAGTCTCTTTCGGGATCTGTTACACCACTGCCTGATGAATATGTTCACCTCTTGCCTAAGGAGACTGGACCCAAGAGTCTTTTTCAGGACCTACTGATGCTTTTGTTGAAGGCAACTCCCGTCGCCGTCGCCTCGGTGGCGGGTGGACGCAAGCGCTTCTTTAACCTGATGGCGCGGTTCTGGCGTAGGATGTGAAAAGGAAGAAGTCAACGACTTGGTAGCTACGATGATGATCTTGGTTATTAGGTGAAGAACTCTTTGAAGCTTATACGCAAGAGTGCATCAGCCACATTCAGCCACTGGTTGCATTTCAGTGGAGCATGGCTGCATGGCTTAATTACATTCACCTGCTCCTCACCGTTCGACGGCCGGTGACGTCTGCTACTTCGCTCGGTTGGCGTGTGCAGGGCATCGGACGATCTGATCAGTCTAGAAGCAAGTCCCTGAGATTCTTCTTGAAGCCCTCCTTGCCACCGCCTCTCTGCAGGGCATACTGGATGCCCGCATGCAGCTGGGGGATGTAAACGTCCTCGCCGTTGAACCGACCGTGCCAAAAAAGGGGCGGACTGGACGGTTTTCGGCGAAGGCTGGAGGTTGATGCTGAGGAAGTAGATTAAGGAGCCTGAGGTCCTAGGATTATGTGGATATCAATCGTATGATGCATAAGCTGGAACCCAGAACTGGGGGGCAAGCATCTCACGAGGCTCGCCCATTTTTTGCATTCTCCAAACCTTTGAAAAAGGCGTCCTAGGGCTTCTCCACCGTGCCAAACTACCTGCCTCGTTGAAAGTTGTGCAAACCAGAAATACATTGTACATGGCATATGTTGCACCCGAGAGCTCTCATGTCTTCTCGTTCACCTACAAATCACGTTCCACCCCTTGAACCTAAGTGAGTGAACCCTTACCTTCAAAATGCCCACCAGCCAAAAGATTTTGTCAGGTCCATTCCTCTCCATTCCTGGTCAAGGGGTCAAGCTGGGTCAAGCCGATCTGCGGTCTCCTCACCCTGAGCCTCTGGGTACATCATCGGTGCCAAATGTCGGAAGAGCCCGTTCCGCCGGGAAGCCAGCACAGCATTGCGACCTCGGTGGGGGTTGCTAAAGAGAGCCTCCAAAATGCCGTGGGTGAGAGTCTTTGGGGGTTTGGGATCTATGTGCAGGGGCCGGAACACCTGATTCATCCTGCGGACAATCCTGAATACATTCCCTTTCACATCCAGCAAGGGGCATGAGATCCGAATTTGGGTTCGTATTTACAGTGGTTTCAGAGTAGATGGCACAGACCCCATGATGTCCTTTAGATGGGGGTCCATATGAACCACCTCTTCGGGTCTGTGCCATCTACTCTCAATCCACTATATGACTTCCTCCCCCTTGGTGGTTTCAAGTCGGTGGCAGAATCCGCCCAAGTTCTTGTGTGTGGACCCTCAAGTCTCGTCCCAACGAGTGCCGGCGCGAACGAGTCCCGAACGACGGTACCGGTTTGAGATGGAGATGCGAAGAAAATACATGAAGATACGACATACGTGATGACACCTCAACACACATTTGAGGCTGCGAAGGAAAAAACATCACCAATCCTCCCAAAGACTTGGACCTAACGAATGGGAAAGGCCGTTTTCCTCTAGAAACCATGTCGTATTTTTGCGGGTCCATGTTAGATGTCCACGGGGTATATACTATGGAGTGTCCAGGAAGGTGCGTGTATGATCTTGTAACTTCCTTCCGTCGATGGGCTCTCCATGGGCTTCAAACCCCCCAAACGGGCCGACTTCTGCGTCATTCCTCCCATTCCTGAGCCACACTTTCTCCTTACCAAGTCCCAGGAGCCCACAGCTTCAGAAGCCTAGCAGGAGAGAAATGGTTCCACTTAACACAACTCGACCATCTGACAAAAAAAGTCTTGTCACTGGTCTTGTCTCATGGTCTCTGGGGGGGGATTCAACTACTTTCGCCAATGACTTGTTGTGTGTTTTCACCTCGGTCAGGAGATTGCAGCCCAAAACTCCTGGTTCAAAGTGCATTCTGCTGGACCTGCCAGGGGCTTCCAGGGTCTTCCAGGGGCCATGTTCCACTTCAATGTGACTTGGGTGTATCATGGTGTATATGATAATGTATATATCAATCATCAGGTGGGAATGGAGCCCGCCGGACTCGACTCGGCGAACGGCTCATGACTACGCATCATCCACCGTGTTCTTCTCTGGGCGACGCACTGAGTGAACGAGGAACATCCCAAATCGGTGTTTAATGACGTCAACTCGCTTGAAACAAGAGTCGGTGGGTTCAATCATCCCGGGTAAAGGTCCGTCGAAAAGCCAAAAATTCCAAACCAACCAGTAACAATCCAAAACTATCACCCCTAGCAACGGATCCCAAATTGCATGGTGGTTTCCTCATGGGCCTCGGTTTGAGTCAATGTCAACCACGCCTGGGCGAGCTTGTCCTTCTCAGTGCGTAGGTCACACAAATACCGCGGGCAGGATGGAAAGCAGCAATGATGGCACCTGAGCAGCGGGCTGCGGGTTTTCTGTTCCCGCTTTGGTGTTTTTTGTTCCCGAGGTGTTTCCTTTCCCGCTTTGGTGTTTTCTGTTCCCGCAAGTGTTTTGTGTTCCCGTAGGTGTTTTCTGTTCCCGCCGGTGCGGTTGAAATGTTACCGCTTTCCAGCTTTACGTTCCCGGAAAAAGTTTTCTGTGTCCAGCAGTGTTTTCCGTTCCCGTACAGGTGTTTTCTGTCCCCGCCGTGTTTGCGGCAAAAAAAGGCTGTGATTTGCGAGGGAATTGTCTTTTCCAGGGGGTCGGGTGCACGCCCCGGTGCTGGCTGGGGCTGCTGCGTCTCCACCGCTGTGCCGCTGCGATCTGCGTGGGAATTGTCTTCTGCACGGGGTCAGATGTACGCCCCGGTGCTGGCTGGGGCTGCTGGGTCTCCGCCGCTGTGCCGCTGTGATTTGCGTGGGAATTGTCCTGTCCAGGGGGTCGGATGTCACCAACCAATTGTCATGAACTAATTGTCGCCAACCAATTGCCACCAACTAATTGTCACCAACCAATTGTCATCAACCGATTGTCAGCAACCAATTCTCACCAACCAGTTGTCACCAACCAATTGTCATCAACAAATTGCCACCAACAGATTGTCACCAACCAATTGCCACCAACTAATTGTCACGTCACCAAACAATTGTCACCAACCAATTGTCAGCAACAAATTTCCACCAACCAACTGTCACCAACCAATTGTCATCAACCAATTGTCTTCTTCAGGGGGTCGGGCGCGGTGCTGGCTGGTGCTGGCCGGTGCTGGTGGGTCTCTGCCCTTCTGAAAGGGTTATATTTGAGGAGTTGTTTTTTTAAAACATGGTCCTCAACCAACTGTCATCAATCAATTGTCACGCCAACCAATTGCCACCCACCAAATTGTCACCAACCACCTACGCAGACATTCTCTCTTGCTAAGTTGCTAACATGTGGGGTTATCCGGTCCTATAATTTTTCACACGGGAAACTCTGGCTAAAAGACATTGGAACTATAAAGTGATGAATATTTGAAGAAGATAAGAATAAAAAGTGGTGGTGCTATATTATTTGGTTTCTGGGCGATTCGTGGTCAAGATTATTCTAAGATGAACAGATGGTGATAATAAATGACCAATCATGGAAATGGAAACAATATAAGATAGAAAAATGACGGTGGGATTGATTTGTTGGTTGGTATTTATTCTGATGAGCCATAATATAAAAGCATGGACATATCTTAATTCTTAATTGGTTGGGTGTTTTTGGTGCGTTAATATATTTTGAAAATACAAGAACTAATTTGTAGCAGCGATGAAGCGTCCAGGATATGAAAATAGGATGACTACATTCCCACACGTGACGCACGCGCGCCTCCGGCCAACAAGGTGTTGGCAAGGCCTTGCCAGGAAACAATTATGCAGTTGTCCGGCAAAGGCCTTCTGGAGGGTCCACGGCCGTCCAAACACAGGCGTCGCTGGCGCTTTGTGTGGGGCAGCGCCACACAGTGCACTCGCCTGTTTCTCCTGTGTGGACCTTTCCACCGCTGACGACCTGGGATGCGCTTTTGAAGGGTTGAGCAACGAACAAAAGTGCATACGCAAACAAAATGGTCTTACGCTTTCTCTCTCTCTCTCTTTCTCTCTCTCCCTCTCTCTCTTTCTGTCCCTCTTCCTCTTTATCAACGCCTAGGGGCAACACAGGTCTCTGGTGGGAGCAGCCCGGTTGGGTTGCTGATTGCCGTGAGGGTGAAAGACCGAACCGGCAACCTGAGCTTAGGCTTCTTCTGGAAGGCTTTGTAGGCCCCCCAGGCCTGAGCTGACCCCGCCACAAAGCCTCCTTCGTGCCGCGCATCACCCGGTGCGGGTCGTTCTCCTCTGCCGTTTGCTGCAATGCAGCAAGTGGAGTGGCATCGGAGAAATGCCCGACCTGCACCTGAGTGTGGTCTTGCGGCACCCTTTTGTGAGCCCAGAATTTGTCTCCTGGCGAGCACCATGCGTATGTGTGCGAGTCGCGCTGCCTTTGGCGTGTTATATTATAGTCCGAGTGCTGCAATGTCTCGGTTCCGGGCCGACATGTCCTGTTCTGTGGCCGGCGTGGCGCTGGAGAGCCTGAGCCAAGCGAGAAGCAAGCGAATATCACGTCACGTCAACCCAGATTTGTCACACCAAGGCACTGGGAGGCACATCCTGCAGCATATACACCTCCTCTTCTTTGGCAAGAGCTGCGTAGTAGTCCAGCCAGCTATGATCTGCGACCTCTTTACGCTCAGAATTTCTTGCACAACACATTCGTCCGGTACCGGTCTTCGTACCGGCGCCGCTTCTGTCTCCTTGATATAGGGCGGAGAAAGGTGTTTTCTGTTCCCGCATGGTTCGGGCGAGGTCGCGAGTATGTTCGTTCGACGACGATCAGTACCAGTAGCACTGCGACTAGTGGTACTACGAGATACTACGAGGAGTAGGAGAAGTTCTGATGAAGATTAGTGCTATTTACTACGACTACTGCAACTACTCCTACGACGACAACAACCACGGCAAGAACAACTAGTAATACTAGTACTATGACTACTACGACTGCTAGTGTAGAGTACTGCAGCTGCTGTTGCTACTACTACTACTACCACCACCACCACCTACTACCACTACTACTACTACAACTACTACTACTACGACGACGACTACTACTACTACGACTACGACTACGACGACGACGACAACAACAACAACAACTACTACTACTACAACCACAACCACAACTACAACAACCACAACTACAACTACAACTACTATTACTACTACTACAATACTACTACTATAATGATACTACTACTAACTACGATTACTACTACTACTACTACTACTAATACTACTACAATACTACTACAATACTACTACCATACTACTACCATACTACTACTATACTATACTATCATACTACAACTATACTACTACTTCTACTACTACTACCACTACTACTACTACTACCACTACTACTACCACTACTACTACCACTACCACTACTACTACTACGACGACGACGACGACGATACTACTACTACTACTACGACTACGACGACGACGACAACAACAACTACTACTACAACTACAACCACAACTACAACTACAACCACAACTACAACTACAACAACAACTACTACTACTACTCCTACTACTACTACTACTACTACTACTACTACTACTACT